TATGACAGGTAACAGTATGTATCCTTTTTATAATTGTATAATTCAAGTTAATATTTTCACTTAGATCTTAGAAGTCAATTAGTGATCTATAGCAGAAACTTCTTTACGAAATATTTTCTTATTATTCTGAATGTCATCACATAGAATTGTTCTTTATCAATAAAATATTATGCTTGTAGAATGCTAGGTACACATAAAACAAAATCATTCATACTAACTGTAGACCTACAGCTATAGCTTCTTAACAAATAGCTTATAGTGGTTTTGACTATCGACCTTTTGTTATCAATTGGTGTATGAGCTTGAAATCAATTGATGGCTATCATGTTGATCCTATTGAAAGGTGGGTGTCTTTATAGACATATTGGTCATTTCATGTATAATTTTATATAGAGACATGTATAATTTTATTCAGTTTTTGAAGAATTAAAATTTACTTGAAATGATGGCCACTCAGTTTAAAAGCAGAGTGGCTATATTCTCAGGGACGCGGTAGACAATTCCGTGTTGGCGAACATGCATTACTTGCACAGTATTTAGCATCTGTTTGCCCACTTTCTGGTGAATCCCTAGAAAATGAAACTGACAGGAAGCTAAGGCTAATTTTGAGTAAAGCACAACATCATCAACAGCAATTAAATCAACAAAGTGATACTGGAAGCGTGCACAGCTTAAGTAGCGTCGGAATGAGTCCTTCTCCAGCTACTAGGCGTAGACTTAGTCATAACAGGACAGGTTCTCCTAGACGTACCAGTGAGTTAATTAATCTTCCATTTCGTTCATTATTATTGCAAGTATAATATAAACTTTTGTACAGTTTTTCTTGTTACATTGATAAAACGTGGACTAGTAGTGATGTACACTTTCCAGTCGTCATGCACCTATATGTTCTAGTTATAATGTATTTTCTCTAGTTGCGCCAATGTTGACATACTATGAAGATAAATGCTTACAGTCACCAAAATTTTATGAAGCAAAGTACTGTGTGTGCCATTCGCCTTGTAAAGGTATCCAAAGTCAAAATCGAAATTAATCATACACGGCTATAACTGCATTGTAGACATGTGTAGAAATCTGAGACAAATATCATCTGTACTTTAGAAAGCTAATCAAAAATAAAAGTTAAATAATAATGTAATACATTATGTACAAATGTACATTATGGACAAATTTTGTCTTGGATTAATGCACATGTTTATGTCTTCTGTGCCTAGTATATAGTACGTTATTAAGTGATTACGTTTTTAAGCTTATAGCGCAAATGACTTTGGAGAATGAAAAAAGAGCAATGTTGTGATAACGATGCTAATTAGAAAATTTGTTTAGCAAATTAATATTTGACGATTTGGAAATATATTTCACATAGTTCACACTTTTTATATTGTTTGTCCTTAGTCAGATATTATTTGCATGCTTCTGCTATTGAAGTTAGTCATAAAGAACCCAAATACAATAAAGTATATAACAATACATGAAATTAGTTGCAAATACAAATGAATGGTATGGTATTAGGTTCATCAAGAAATTCATTGAGAATGAGGTCACCTGATAGAATGGTATCTAGTTGTCACACCGATGCTATAGTTTCTTCATGCCATACTTTATTAAGTGAAGATCAGGAATCATTGATGACTCAGAGTTTAGATCCAAATATGCTTTGTGGTACTTTAGCTAACAAGACTCCAAATACGGTTGTTTTGCAAGATACAGAAGGTAAATAATGAATATTACTGAGTTTTCATTTCTTAAATAAAAACGTATTAACTAAAAATTTGCTTTTCAGAAACATCTAGTCCTCTGCAAGCTGCAACAAAATTAGTGCCAGTTCCTGAGTCTTTAATGAGTCCAGATTTTCGTCCACCATCTGGTCTTTCTCGAGTGTTAGCAAAAACTCCACCAAGCAAATTAACATCACCTTGTCAAATTACAATGCCAAGCAAGCTCATTTCTGATGGAGATGGCAAGGCTATTCCTATAATAAATACAGTAAATCCAATGGCTAAAACAAATCTTACTTCTATAAAAGCGAATGCACTTGTAAAAAGTAGTTCAGCAACAAATTGTGCTGTTGGAAAACCAAATATTGCTAAGCCTATTATTACAAATACTAGTACTAAATGTCCCCATAGTGTGAAAATCAATAATTACGTTCAAAGCAAAACATTGCCTGCAAAACGAAATACAAAAAATTCACCAAACTTAGGCAGAAATATACCAAGGCCAAAGAGTGCTAATGATAAAATTAAAACTAGTGTCATTAAAAGCAATGGAGATGGTGATGCAGATAATGCTACTCAAAGTAGTGATGAAGATAGTGAAGTATGTCAAGCGAAATTAGATAGCATTCGACATAGAGCTATTCAAAGAAGACAGGAAGATAATAAAGGTGACCCTCCTTTTTTTTATAAATATAAAAATAGGTCTTCCTAATAAATTAAGAAGCTTAATAATTTTTTACTTTTAAAATAGACCAAGATGAAGCTGAGAAAGCAGCAATATGTATTCAAAGGATGTGGAGAGGATATCATACTAGGAATCTTAATAAAAAAGCAACCACTATATTGAAGACTATTGAAATGATAAGGACGAATAAATATATCCAGTATGGTTTTCATTTTCTCGTTAAATAAATGTAATACCGTTTTCAAAATATTGTATAATTTATAAATCTTCTTTTTTTAAGGAAACTCTCTACTGATATGGAAGCTACTCGAACTGCGTTAGAAAGTGAACATAAATTACAGTTATTACAAATGCAAGCAATTAATGCATTGTGGAAGAAAGTTGTTAGTCTTCAACCTACTGCTAATCGAGATTCTACGAACACTGATAACGAAAATATTGCACAAAATGTAGACGTTGTAACTAATCTAGCACAAACATGTAATTTGTTGCATACTCAGGTAACACCAATTATATCTTTGTAATCCGTTTTAGAATATTAGTAACATTTCTGTTATTTAAAAATCTGATATATGATTAGGTTCAACAATTACAAGATTCTATGTCAGAAATAAAACGATGCATGTCGAATATGCAAACAAAAGCCAATCTTATTGATAACGGTGTTGCAACACAAACGGAAATATCGGCAGTTCATACCCCAGCGGGCGAAGAAAATATGTTTCCTTATGCACGACCACATAGACCACAAACTTTGCCAATTCATCAAACAATTCATGAAGGGAATGAGAATAAAAGTTTTGCATCTAATTTAATTGATAATGTGTTAAAAAAAGTATCTCAGTCTACTGATACGACAGATGATGAAGTTAATACTGACATCTTAAACTCTAATGAAAATCCCGAATTATTAAACTCAACTGAACATCCTGACATGTTTAAAAGTTGTGAGGAGATTATAGAACCTGATTTCAAGGACGTAGTGGAACATGATGTAAAACATGAATATGATGTAATTGATAATGCTGTTATAAACGGTGAAGTTTGTGAAGAAACACTATGTAAAGAGTTACACAATTTTATTGAAACAGAAATTACAACAGGAAATTGTGCAAATTTGGAAACGGAAAACAATTCAGAAGAAATTGAAAAGGAATAACTTTAATCTGAGGAGACATAGAATAAGCAAAAATAAAATGAAGGTGCAAAGTTGAAAGACTTGAACAAAAATAGGAAGAAACAAATGTGAATTCCAATAGATAGTCTAACTCATGAATGGAATTAATACATTTTTAACTAAAAATACTCACTGTACATAGGTTCAGAGACTAGTCTTAATTATATTCAGGTAACAAAATTGAATACTTTTAATTTCATTATGTCTCTAACATTTTAAAATTAAATCCATCACAATTCAAAGAATTATCACGAAATACATTTAAAAAAGAGAAAGTATCAAAAACAATTTTAAATAATCATGTCATTAAGTTGATTCATTATATGATGTGCATCGTGATCATTGAAGCAATTTTGAAATTTTTCCGTCCACATATCTGGCTTTTAAAAAGTTCACCGATGTACAAAGTGTGTATTAAGAATGTTAAATGTCTCACAAAAAGCTTTGCTCCTTCTTTAAAAGATCATCATAGAAATATTACTGTACAGGAAAAACAATGCATTCAATGTCACGAAGTCCAAAGTTATTTGTCAATTCTCAGATTGAAGTATTTATAAGAATACAAGAGAGAATTTTGATATATAAGTGCATTCCTTATTAACAGCAGAACATTTTTTAAGTTTTGTTAAAAAATTTCTTGGATAATGTTACCTAGATAGCTATTATTTTTATGCATTTATTTTTTTATTTATTTATCTATTTATTAAAAATTATGAACCCTAGAAAAAATTAATATTACTGCAAAATGTAGGTAGTAATGAAAACATTTTTAATCTAGTCATTGCAAAAGCTCCTGCATATAATTACTGTAGATATTAACTAAAACTTGTTACATAGGTATACAGTGTTATTAAAACAAATAAGATCTTTCAACGAAAACAAGTACTTGTTAAAAGGCGTGAGTTTTTGTTTATGACAAAGAGCGCTGTAATAATTCTTTTAAATGTGTGTATATTGCTTGAGTTTTATTATTAAAAACATTTAAATACAATAAATCGCTGCTACTATAAGAATATTATTACAATGAAAGAAACTATATGTGAGCTCCTATTAAAACTATATCTTATATTTATTTTGTGTGACATACGTCCGCTAGGTGTCACGTACATAAGACACTTTAATGCTCAGAATTGTTAAGAACTTAATATCAATGTTAAATAAATAAGTCATATACATTGAATACATGTTTATAACAATATTTACTTTTATATCATTAACTTCTGTATATAATCTATACATGCATTATTTCTTTTTTATAATGTCATAAAAGTTTGCATCTGATACATTATTTTAAGTTATGAAAAAAATAATTAAATGTGATCGAATTTATGTAAAGAAAGTTTGCTATACAAAATGGATATTTGATGTGATATAAGTATGCTTCATATGTTCCTTTCATACTTAGTAACGTTCAACAAGGCATATAGAAAACAATATATTTTTAACAGAACAATGTTCACAATAATATTCCCAACATATGTGATTACAGTATACTATGGTTTTGTTTCTTTTGTACACATTACACAAAGATTGTTATTGGATAATAAAAATGCTTAAATCAGAAAGCTAAAAATAAATACAAGTATTTATCTAAACAATTATGTTCAAATTTAGTACTATTTTTATGTAAAAAATATTTAAATAATTTTAGCTAACACGCATACAATTACTTTACAATGTTTCTTAGACAACATTAGTATTGTATATAAAAATGTGTGTATGTATGATTTTAAATATATAAAAAATTTTATATTTACATTTTTTTATAAAATACTTTTTTTCATTTAAACATTTTTTGACAAGAAGCTCTCTCAATAACTAAATAGGAATTCATAACTTTTTTAACTTTATCAATTTCTAACAAAATATCTTTATTATTAGGAGATTCTAATAATGCTTGCTGTAAATCTGCTAAACCTAAATCATATTCATTTAATCCCATGTATGCTTGACTTCTACGAAATAATGCTTTACTGTTATTCTGATTTATTTGTAAAACCTAAATTTAAAATTGTTATTAAACAATAGTTTAAAGTACTTATACTGAATTCAATTAAATCTTACCTCTGAACAAAGCTTTAAAGCTTCGCGATGACTCTTTTGCTTTAATTTAACAGCTGCAAGATTAAGTAATAGAGTTACTTTAGTATTCACTATTGATTCATTGGAAGAATCTGGTACATCTACTGTCTTCATCATCCATTTGTAATAGCGTAATGCTTTCTTATACTTCCTGCCTGCATCTACATAATTTTTTCGTAAAAAATAATAATTTCCCGAATCTTTTATCTTCTGAATAACATCCATTATATACTTGTACTATAAATATGCATGAATGTTCATTAGAAAAGCAATTCTTTTCTAAACATATATGCCTATAATAAGATCCTTACATCTTGTCTTTTAATATTTTTAGAATAATCCCAATCTTCTGGCCATGGGGTAAATACATCTTCTGTACCATCATTCTCCTCTAATTCCCAATTTTGATTATGTTTCAACTCTCCGCAGTCAAATATATGTATTTTCTATAACAAAAAATATTCATATAATTGTTAATAATTTAAACCAGGTACAAAAAATGTCTACATAAAACATATATGCTAACCTGAACTGGTACATCTTGAATTGTTTTAGCTCTGGATACTTCTAATACAACACCCATTCCTTTCAAAACTTTACCAAATACGACATTAGTATTATCTAGATGTGTCGTAGCTGAAACAGTAATTATAAACTGAGAACTGTTGCTATTTGGATAACCTTCATTAACCATGCTCAATAATCCTCCTGATGAATGAGAGAGCACAAAGTTTTCATCCTCAAATTGCGTTCCATATATACTTTCTCCACTTGTACCATTAAAATTTATTATATCTCCACCTTGGACCATAAACTGTGATAACACTGAACGATACAAAACTTTTTTGATTAAATATATTATTTTATATTACCTTTAGAAAACGTTAATCCTTTTTGTTATACCTTTATGAAATATTGATCCTTTATAATGTAACTTTTTGCCATTGATTCCAATACCTTTTTCTCCAGTACATAGTGCACGAAAATTTTCAGCTGTTCGAGGTACAACATCTTTAAAAAGCTCTATCACAATTCTTCCAGCTGTATCATAGTATCATATAAATTATTTTTAAAATTCTAATGAAATGAAATGTAAAACAGAACAGTAATACAAACACTGAAAGTTAGAAATTGACTAATATCCTCTTATAATTCTAATCTTCATACATTACCTTTTTCTGATTCAATTGCTATATCTAAAAACACGATTGGATTTCTTTTACTATTGTTATTGTTCTGATTCCTTAGCGAATCTCCCATATTTTAATTAATATATATCCATATATAAAATAGGTTTTCAAAATTTTGTTTCCTAGCTAATTCTAATTCTACAAATGAATTATAGCATAGAGTTAACATCGTATGAAATTTTATGTTATACGAACTGAAATACCGACCTTAGTAAAATCATTAATTTCGTTTGCGCTCCCTACAACTCAAAACGGTGAATTTAGAAATTATATTCTGCATTATCAACAAAATTGACGAATCCAATAAATCTGAAACGAAATATTAAAGTGAAGATTAAGAGAATATATAGATTTTTATTCATATTACACAAAGATACAGAATAAGCGTGACATTTTTTGTGCCCCACGATTTAGGGGAGTCACTTGAGCTCCTTATCATTTTCATGTCACATGCATCTTTATCAACACATATTAAAACTTTAACTGTGGTATTGCATCTACATCAGATCTTATATATGACTATTTTATATTCTGTCGATAACAATTCTTGTATCACTTATCGTTATCTCATTTGTAGACTTCTAATATTCACTTTTTTATTTTAGATAACAGAATTTAGAAAAATATTATGAAGAATTATTGTAATATTTTACAAGATTTCATAAAAAATCTATCGGATTCTTTTCCCATTATAATAGCAAAAACAAACTTAGGTCCCACCGAGATTTGAACTCGGATCGCTGGATTCAGAGTCCAGAGTGCTAACCATTACACCATGGGACCTCTGAAGCAATTGTTTCACTTACATAATATAATAGGTAAATATTTTTAATCGAAAAAATTAGTTATATCTCGACACTGATTGCTTTATATATTTTATCATTGTAACATATTTTATAATAATTTAAAGCTGAGTTAAAATTAATATAGAAAAATATATTTACATAACAATGGATAAAAAAGTATAAGACATATTAGCTTTTTATATTGTTGTAATAAGTATATAACAATGAAGTTTCTGACAATATAACATATAATGTATATAGATTCGCAGCAATTCTTTTATACATTTATGTGTGTACATATACACACATATATACATAACCACACATATGTATATTTTATGAGTAACTTATATTTTTAAATTCAATAAGGATCCTCTCTATAAATTATAGTAATATACAAACAAGCAATGCAGATTATCAATATATAGATCATATTCAAAATTCTAGAAGCTTACCTAGTACTAGAAGGTATTACACAATATCACTATTAGAACTTTTATACTTCAATACCTGTCTACGGACAATGGTTATATGTTTCTTCTTACAAAATAAATTCTTTTACTCATAATTCCAATTTTATATGTAATAAACTTACATATATCTCAGATGTCACGAAATAATTCTTATGTGTATCTATTCGTACAAATGAACAACATGTAAATAATGTTTCACATTAAAGCATTGTCCATACTATTTGAGCAATAAAAATTTACAGTTTATTTTATCTATGTGGTACTAATACATAAAATAGTGTGCAGAAGTTATCTTATTTCTGTTTTTACCTTGCTCTGTTTATCTCATACATAAGCAAATTTGGCAAATAGTCTTAATAACTTTAATTTTGCTTTTTTCTAATAATAGAATAGTACATAGCCAATATTAAGTAATATATATTTTTAGAGGGTGTAGATTATATATTATATAAATACAACCCCAGATAGAAATGCTGTTTGTTCTAAAGCCAAGTTAGATAAAAGTGCAAGTTTAATGGCTTAATAAAAAAAGAGTAAGCGTTCCTGAGCACTTCCAGGTAGTAGTCTCCAACCACGTTTGATGTTCAAATATTGAATAATAGCACGTGCACAAATCAAAACTCCTAAAAATTAAATGTAGCACATATATTAATGTAAATATTTAGAAGTAGCGTCAATAACAAAATACTAACCAAATCCCATTATCAACCACCATAGCCATGAATTTTCACGCGATGCAAGATCAGTGGAATGTTTAACAATAAATGTCCATTTTGACAAAGATAAACCAAAACCAGACAGTGCTCCATATCGAGATGCAATTGTATGACAGAAGCACATCATGAGTAAAAATCCGATCCAATTAAAGCAAAATGCAACTGTCATTGGAATATATATTATTTAGATATAAGTGTAATAGAAATATGTATAATATGCAGGTATATATTATTCAATTTACCCAAAAATGCTGTAAAGAACATAAAATCAGTGCCAAGTAAAGTACTCTCTGGATCTCCTTCTACAACTTCAGTATCTATAGCCAATATTGTTAAAGGCCTTGCTGGTGTTCTAATATTTTCAGGCTATAAGAATGTTATTCAATTGATTAATATATATTTAGTTTTAAAAGGATATTGTAATTAATTAGTAACAGTGCTATGTGATTAAATCAATTACCATGTGGATTTGAGGGTAAGGTTCCCCTTGTAATGTTTTCTCACGTTGTACTTCCTCATAACTAGGTAATTTTGTGGCAACTTCATAAGGTGGTGGAGCTGAAAAATCTGCTTTTGGAGGTGGAATGTCTTCTCCTCCAGTCTATAATCACAATCTCCTTAATAATAATAATTTTCCATAATGTAACAAAACATTTGTATCTTACCATACGGTCTTCAATTGAAGTTTGTGCTGCAGCAATGTTTCCCGAATTGATTGTATCATTTTGTATAACTGATACAGACACAGCTAGTGTAGGTATTTCATTTTGAGATGATGGTTCCTCATTTAAGTTACTATTTGTTTGTGGAGGCTAAAATTAAATTACTCATCTTTAATATTCTTTATCAATAAAAGATTTCAAATAATTAAAGATATGAAATATTGTTTATATTTTGGTTAAAAATGTTATTTTTTATATATCTCCAGTGTTGAGGTAATTAAAACAATATAACAAAGTATAAGGTTTTTTTTATTTTATTGTTTTTATTTTATTTAATCTCTTATACTAAATCACTCTCAAGAAACAAACGAGGATCATTGTGGACAATGTTTTTATCGACATTTTCATGTCAGTATTTGTGCATAACGTGTATTATAATACATAGAAATATTATTTTACGCATGTGAAATATGTTTACCAAATAAAAGGTATTCTGGCAATCAGAGATAAATTGTAAATTGTTCATTAGAGCCTTTGAAATATTTATTACGATCAGCATCATTTATGAAACATACCATATTGTAATGAATATTACTATCCATTCCTGGTGAAATTTATTCGAAGCGCGGTATATTATTTTGATTACGTAGAAGAAATAAAAGATACTGTTTTCGTACGTACTGCTGCTTTCTAAGACAGCAAAAGTTCTTACAATCGATGGCTGACAGCTGGCAAGGCTGTATCGCCGTGAACTTAGATTTCCTTACACTTTCACGCCTATCATTTTCATACCTTTATCAGATACTGAATATTTTCCTGTTACTTGTTAATAAATATTTCTTTTATTGATAGAATTTTTATTTTTAATTTGAGGTATCATTTTATTCATTTATTTCAAATTTTGTATAAAATAATTATAAGTTTGAAGTCAATTTCTGATTGGTTATTCATAAGACGATGTTGAGAATTAGGTTGTAGGACGGGAATCTAACAAATCTGAATTTTTCCTGTTAGCGGAAGTAAGCAATTACAAGTTAATACTATTTAAATGTTATTATTTTGAAAAAGCTATTAAATTTGGTGAAAATAATAGATAAATATATATTGGTATAGTTTATTTGGTTAACTAAAATCAAAAATGGTAATAAGATATTCATTTGAGTCATGTATGTTGGTGGGGGTATTTGGATCACGTCGTCATGCACAAACGACGCTCTACTCCTCAGTCAGTCGCTTGCCGATTGTGAGAGCAATAGGGAAGCTTCATTATGTCGGAGGTATTCAAGCTGGGTGATCTTGTATGGTGTGTACTTATTATGTGTTAATCAATGGATGTTTACAATAAAAATAGTGCAATCCAAATGGCGGTGATTAATAATTGATATCTTTATGGATTTCAGGGCCAAGATGAAAGGATTTTCGCCTTGGCCTGGTCGGGTAAGTTGGAGTTAACTACTAACGGTTCTATATTAACTATACTTTGCTTGGTTGTACGCGCCACGAAGTCAAACGCGGCCATCATTTTGGCGGGAACATTTCGTGCTCCGCTTAACTGTATACCATACTATTATAAATTGATATATTTTATGCTCCTGTTACTTCTTATTACATATCTCCCACTATATCCGTCCTTTAAATTCAAATTGGCGCGCAGACTATGAAAATATAACCTAAATTATGTTATTTACCCATGCTGTTCTTAGATAAGCTAAATTTCATGTTTACATTACGTATATCCAAGCAGTTATTGTTTAAATTATTTCTTTTCTCATTAGAAACAGATAATTTGGTTTTATTGCAAGATCAGTCCCTCTAAAATATTCGCGCGCTAATTATGATTTTCTTCAGTTGCAAATTGAGCAAATCATATAATTGATTATAAATTATACGTCTATTCGTAATAATCTATTTATTATTTGCTTCTATTTTATACGTAGTTTATGAATAAAATTTGATATGATTGAATAGTTTTATCCTTTATTTGTATATATCATCGTTTAAATTATATTCAACATGTAGTATTTATCCAGTATTTATATTTAATTATTTAAATGAAAAATACTGACACATTTAAAATTTACGTATTTGCAAATATTTAATTTAATTAAATAAGTACATTATTATGATGAATAAAACAATATATATTTTATTTACATTTGCATTTTTACGTTTATAACATTTAATTGTTTATTATAAAACATGAAATATAATGCACATGAGATACAGATTTATGAGTATTATTAATATTGTTATTTACGAATATGATGTTATACTTTTATTTTGTTATGGAGAATATGGAGAATACGTTTATCGTCATTTCTATTTTAAATACTAATTTCTCCATGACATCTTAAGGTGTCTAATCCTTCAAAGGATTTGAAGAAACCGACAAATACTAAGAAGGGGCCGGTTCAATGCATTTTCTTCTTCGGAACAAATAATTAGTAAGTTTGGATGAAGTTACTTATTTTTCATGTTTTGTAATATATTAACTTTTGAAACTTACATAAATATTTATTGTAGCGCATGGATAGAGGAATCTAATATAAAACCATATCTAGAATACAAAGATACTTTGGTAAAGTCTAGTAAATCTGGTGCATTTAAAGATGCAGTAGAAGCAATAGAGGAATTTATTGCTAATGGAGAGGTAAGCTATATGAATAAAATGAAAACTGTTTAATGTACATGTTTCTGTGATATATATGATATAGTGAAATTTATAAAAATATGATATGTTTTATAAATAACTTATAACTATTATTGCTTACTACAGTATACTAAAAAAATTTTTATAAAAAATTATTAGTTATATACCATTTATTATAGTATTATTTGCTCTAGGTGTTTGAAGATGGCTTAGACCCAGATTCTTTGTTCGACAGACTTAAAGAAGAAAGCATATCCGAGAAGAAAAATATAGTAAAAACATCTAAACCTCGTAAGGTTAGATTTATATTACATATTATAACAAACAATCGAATTAAAATTTATGCATTTTGATACATTGAAATTACAAAACAAATTTAATAAATCATGCTACTAATATGAATATAAAGCGTCATATCCTAGAATTAATATGCAGTACAAAATATGACACGATACCATTGGTTTAGGAAACGCCAAAAACTAAAAGATTGGACTCTGGTGCAAGTGATGCCCGTCGTCCAGCCAAAAAGCAACGGAGAGAATCAAGTACAAGTAATAGTAATAGAGTTGGCAGCATTAGTCCTGCGTTAAACCATTCTACTCCTCTCAGAAAATCAGGATCGACTCTCCTTAACAGGCCAGCGAATATTGCTAGACCTGTAAGTATACTTTACTTTATTATTTCACGATTGACATATACAAAAGTATATTTTTTTCAAGAAGTTTTCTCTTATGATATTGTTTAACTATTCTTAATTCGAAAAAGATTAAATTATAATAGTAAATATTTTAATTGAATATTCACTAGGAACAGGAACTTGCGTCTTTTAGAGCACTAAATTCCAACAACTTTTACTTCCATTCATGTAAATAAATAAACAACAACAATATTACGCCTTCTTTAATTCCTTTCCATCGATATAAAACTAGTATCATTTAACACAAATTCCAAATTTTCAATCAACAAAAATCTTATTTTTATGAAGTAATGTAATTTTTTAATCATACATGAATCATTTTCATCATTATCTTTGTATTTGTAAAGCTATATTATATTATGAAAACTGTAAAAAATGTATTACAGTCAAGTTCTAAGTTGTATTTCAAAGTAATTTGTTTTGTGTTTAAATTTTGTTAATATCTTAAAGGAGTTTTAATGTTCTTTCAATTTAAAGAAGATGGTTATGTTTACTTATTCTTATTTTTTAACCTCGAAATGTAGTTTACTGCTACATAGGTACTTGAAATTATATTAATTGTTAATATGTTATTACTTAATACAATAGGTGACACCTCCTTTGGACGTGGAAACATTGTCGCAAACACTTAAAGAAAAAAACATCCTTCCTTCAAACTTGAAATTTGGGTTCCTTGGTTTGGGAATCATGGGAAGTGGTATTGTAAAAAACCTAATCAACAGTGGACACAGCGTGATTGTATGGAATCGGACGCAGGAAAAGGTATGTGCAATTCATTTACTTATGTTGTAATGCAATTACAATTGCAATATGGTTGTTTTATTGTCGTAAGTGATATCTTCATAATTATAAAAAAAAGAGGCCACATGTCATATAAATTATTAACGCTAATTTATAAGAATAATTTTATTTTAACACGATAAATTGAATACGAACAATAGGCAATAAAAATAATAAAAAATATTAGTTAATTTTTACCAATTGAAAAATAGATATATTTGATATACTTTTTTTTAGTTTGAAATACATTAAATTTCAAACAGTCATATAATTACATAAAATTTGAATTTGCATTAAGAAAAAATTGAAATTTCATTTTTCGGCAGGATATATGTATTATCTGAATGTATCTAATTTTATACAAATTCTTAACACGGTCTTCGCTATCAATTTTATTGTTGCATTGTCAGCAAAAATGACATGGCCGTGTTTCGTTTTTCCTACTTCGTATCCTACCTTCAATTAACAATATGTTATTGCTCTGACAATTTGAATTCTGCCATGAAAAATTTCGCGAATGATGTTTATTCCTTCGATAATATGTTTAAATGATTTTGTGGAAGTTAGGGGAAAAAGAAAAAGAAGATATTTTGATAAACAATCTCGTTTATTGATCATGCTGCATGTTCAGCTTATGGTTAAAACTACTTAAGTTGTTATTGAAAACAAACATTAAGATGGTAACGAAAAACTAAATTATTTATCAGGCGAAAAATGAAAAATTCTGCAGGGGCACAGGTACCTGCTTATTTGAATTGTAAAGTAATTCAATAACTCTGACTATCGCGTGATATACGATGGAAGAAGTGGGATATGTATCAGTTGAAATATTTTTGGGACTTCTTCCTTTCCATTTTATCGTTACGAAATCTATAATATTGAAAAAATATATATATTCCCGGTGATTTGTAATTTCTTTGATTTAAGTGTAAAAAAAGGAAGGAATATATATAAATATACAGGAACAAGAAAGTGGAAATAATTTTTTTTTTTTTTTTTCAAGAAAATGTTCTAATTTTTTTTCTAGAAGTATTATTTTTCCAAAAATAAATATTTCACAAATTCATATCGGTATTCGTAACGCGTGTTTTTAGTAGCAGGCATAAAAATGCAAAAAAATACAAACTACCAAAAGCACTTCAAAAGACCGCGAAATCGTATTTTCATAGCAGGAACTTTTGTTCATTGAAAAACTACGCGCAATTTGAATATTTAATATAACAAAATATAGTGCACACGCGCGATTTACATTATCTTTCATTTTGCTACACATAATACGTATCGTGGAACGAATCATCTCGTGGTATTCCACAGCCTATTTTTGACGAGTGATTGTTCTGATGAAGTACATCTGTAGCCACCTAATTTGTATATCTAAGAACGTTAATGAGTGTTTAACGATTAATGGATAATCCTATAATCAGTTCCTTGGATCGATAGATATGACGTATAAATTCCGATTCCATCATCGAAAATAAACGTTTAAGGAACAACTTTTAGCGATACCTAACGTAATTTCGTTCAGGCAAATCTTAAAAGCACGTAATTAAGTCTTTTCTTTATTTCGTATTACGACATCTTGCTTGAAAGAGAAACATCTAGACTTTGATCGCATAGAAGTAACTTTTCTTCGATTTCCCGATCTTACAGATATATATTCGACGTACGTTCGTACAGGTTTTGATCGCGTGCCCTTCGAAGATAACAAGTGAAATTTTCTATGGGAAAAGCCTTTTGAAAAATTAACATTATACGTCAATGTGTAATGTAAACTATATTTCGTTGAAACCGGTTTTTTGATAACGAAAATGTCTAGATAACGAAGGTGACAAACTGTCGAAACGTTACGATGACAAGTTTATTACAACGTTGCCACTAGATTCGAGTGACGCGATACTTTTCGTATGAAACGTAATGTAATTATAATATGACGGCGCACGCGCGCATCGGCATACGGAAAGGGCAATTAAAAATCGACTCGCGTGTGGCACGCTACTATACCACCGCTAAGATTCACGTCGGCCACACCAATCACCTAATCGGTTTGCTTTCCTTCGTTCTGTCATGAGACGCGACTCGAATCTGTTTTCCCGCAGCGTCATTCACGGTAGCAGTAGTTTCTTGCTTGAGCACGATGCCTTGTATTCCGTGATGTATACTTTCTGCCGCGTTCTGTCGCGTCCCCGTTTTCGAGGGATGATAAAATTTTATCTCCTTCAAGTCGCTGAAGCGTTCCAAAAATAACGGCGGAGCACCGTTACATGCGTTAGCTAGTTGTCTTATTCGTTTCGCCGGCATGCAACGCGTGTGGTGGGGGCCGCGAGGGGCGATTCAACGCACAGAAGAGAGGGAAAAGATTTGAAAAGAAAGAAAATCGGCATCTCTTGCGTTTCAACGTACATATATTACCACGAACTGCAAGTTCTACTGCTTAAGAAACGGGATTGCATGCGCGCAGCATTTTCTACGCATTAAACTTACAATATATACATCAAGTTTGATTACGTATACGCGTCCGATCATCTTTTCAGTTATCGAACGTGATTCGTTACAGGAAAGTCGTTTTGTCTTGAAAGGAGTAACCTGGATTATTTTGCACAATTGAACTGGTATTATCAGTGAAATTTGACAAGTTACGAGTTACTAATATTAATAAATACCTTCGTACGACAGTGACATACGTTTATAGTAACGTGAAATGAAATTTTACAAGTGAACTTGAAAAACCTATCTGATAGATTATCCGATTATCGTTTGTAAACAAAAATTTATAATCCACAATTTGTAACTTGTCGATATACTAACGTTATTAGTTGATAAATCATTGTACAAGAAAACTCTGATAATAGAATGAAATTCTTTTTTGCGGCATCGTATAGTTTTATCATCACAGTTTTGTTAGAAATTCTAAAGTGAAATTCGGTAAATTGAATAGCACGCGTGATACTAATTTCTTCGGTTGAATTAACGGTACAGCGTCGAACTGTAACGTTTGAGAACCACTTCTCGGCGCGGAAAACGGTGGCAAATTTATGACTACCGTGCCTTTGGAAGGGTTGATTTGCCATCATATACAGTCAATTGAATCCACTTTAGAATACAACGCAAGATGAATTTAGTGTGAATTTAAAAAATAATTGGGGTGACCTTTAGACACTTTTTGTATCTAATGGCAGGGGAAAAAATTCAATTCTACTTTCCCGTTTCAAACTAAGCGTATTTTATTCTAAAAAAAAAATTTGCATATTTCTAACGTCTCAAGAAGTAATAATTCGATGTACATATACGTTCGAACCACTTTGTGGCATGCGTACGAAAAAGGAGATAATCGTTTATACGATTGAGAAAATAATTTTTTATAACTTTCAAATACATCGATAGATTTTATAATTGTATTGTTCTTTTCTTTGTTTCTTTAATCACATAGATAAAGTAGAGACTCGGAATAGATAATATAATGTCAACGAACGGTTCTCTGGATATACAAAAGGTTACAGATCTATCTCTCCAAGTTTCTCCAATTAGAGTAAAACATTGTCAGGGAAGTACAACAGCTCATAGAACATGCATTATCTAATAAGCTTATTTAAAACATCGTACCAATGATGAGAATCTAACTATGTTCGGTTCTTTTTTTCCGCGATCGATATCGTTTGGATTGTGCACATAGAAAAGCAGACGAAGAAAAAGGAGTGGTCTGATGTTCGAAGCCTATAATAGGGCCGTTCTCGAGCTGATTATTATTATCATGATTAGAATAGATCTCTCTCGTCGTAACTACTTCAGTTAGTGTACCCGAATAATCAAATATCTCAAATGTGGATCCTCAAATTTTTGATAGTCTTTTTATAATTAAAATCGGGATAAAATTGTTAACTCGGTATAGTTTAATCGGATATTTAAAATTCAGTTCGCGTTTCATATTAAAGAGGAAAGACGCGGATAATATAAAAATATAGAGTATGATATTTAAGAAAAGGCTATTTTCGTTATAGATCTACTAGAATTTTTTGTACGTGTTTGTATCAGTTGGATTGTGGTAACAAAAGCTCGATCGGATAAAAGAATTTAGAAATATCACTTATTATCTTCTTTGATACTTCTCGAAAGTTTTTCTTTTCGGAACGATTGGTATAACTGTGTTATTGATGATATTTAATTAAGTACATGTATTTGTGCTGTTCTCGACAAAGATAGTTCTTTTTCTGTTAAATAATTATATATTTCTATATTTCGAATAATTTGTATTTTAACGAACAAAGGATAGGTTTAAAGAGCGAAAACATTCGCGGACATTGGAAAAATAAGAAAAAGATAACATGCGTTCCAATGTGTGGACACTCGAATTTTTCGAAATAGAAAGCGAAAAGAAAAAAGGAAAGAAGAGTAGTATGTAATCTAGACGGAATAACAAACAGTGTATCGGTTTCGTCGGACTTCGATCAGTGAATAATCTTCAGCGATCGTGTATACCGGTACTGAGTTCAATCTTTCATAAAAATTGAAGTCACACGTCTCCGCAAACTGATAAAGTCACACGCACATTTATTTACAGAAGAATAAAAGCGAATCGATCGATTTCTTCAAAATCGTTGAACTTCGGGTGAAATTGACAATTAGGCGAAAATTAGTACGGACCCGTTTATACACGCGTCAGTTTTGTCTCTTCCTTCTTTTATCTTCTTTTTTGCTTTCTCAATTTGTTTTGTGAGCTTTAGCTTTTTATTTTGAAATTGGCTTACGGCAGGGTTGGCAGTAACACTATGACATCTTGCGTTTCTTTCCAGCGTTTTCTTTGTCTAACGGTCGTCGATTGTTATCGTTTGTGCTGAGCGATGATAACAACAATGATAAAAAGCACAAAGTGTAAGGGCGGACAGAGTACAAGGTCATCGATCGAATCACAGAAAAATCCTTGGCAACTGTCCGCGATTTCTTTTTTTGTTTCTTGTCTTTACTTTAGTTCTCCTTAAACAACACTC